GTAATCTGCATGGGCCCCTTACCCCCCCTCAGCGCTGCCAGGTAATCTTAGGGGGCCCCTGTACGGCCTCCCATTGCTGCTGTCTCCTCGCCAAACTCCCCTTTTTGCCATTTCGCCCTCCTGCCATACCACAAAAAATACACTTTTCAGGTCTCCTCACACTGCGGGTGTGTTCCATTTTTTGTCATAGGGTGCTGGCAGATTACGGGCCTCCCATAGCTGCTGCCAGGCCCCTTAATCTGCCATGGGGCCCCTGTACCGCCTCCTCATGCTGCTGCCAGGTCCAGAGTCTCTCATGGGTCCCTGTACGGCCTCCCATTGCTGCTGTCTCCATCGCCACACTCTGCCATGTGCCACTTTCAGGTCTCCTCACACTGCTGGTGTGTTCCATTTTTTGTCATAGGGTGCTGGCAGATTTACGGGCCTCCCATAGCTGCTGCCAGGCCCCTAATCTGCCATGGGCCCCTGTACCGCCTCCTCATGCTGCTGCCAGGTCCACAGTCTCTCATGGGTCCCTGTACGGCCTCCCATTGCTGCTGTCTCCATCGCCACACTCTGCCATGTGCCACTTTCAGGTCTCCTCACAACCACTGCTGGTGTGTTCCATTTTTTGTCATAGGGTGCTGGCAGATTACGGGCCTCCCATTGCTGCTGCCAGGCCCGTAATCTGCCATGGGCCCCTGTACCGCCTCCTCATGCTGCTGCCAAGGTCCAGAGTCTCTCATGGTCCCCTGTACGGCCTCCCATTGTGCTGTCTCCATCGCCACACTCTGCCATGTGCCACTTTCAGGTCTCCTCACACTGCTGGTGTGTTCCCATTTTGTCACCTAGGGTGCTGGCAGATTACGGGCCTCCCATAGCTGCTGCCAGGCCCCTAATCTGCCATGGGCCCCTGTACCCACGCCTCCTCATGCTGCTGCCAGGTCCAGAGTCTCTGCATGGGTCCCTGTACGGCCTCCCATTGCTGCTGTCTCCATCGCCACACTCTGCCACTCTGCCATGTGCCACTTTCAGGTCTCCTCACACTGCTGGTGTGTTCATTTTTTGTCATAGGGTGCTGGCAGATTACGGGCCTCCCATAGCTGCTGCCAGGCCCCTAATCTGCCATGGGCCCCCTGTACCGCCTCCTCATGCTGCTGCCAGGTCCAGAGTCTCTCATGGGTCCCTGTACGGCCTCCCATTGCTGCTGTCTCCATCGCCACACTCTGCCATGTGCCACTTTCAGGTCTCCTCACACACTGCTGGTGTGTTCCATTTTTTGTCATAGGGTGCTGGCAGATTACGGGCCTCCCATAGCTGCTGCCAGGCCCCTAATCTGCCATGGGCCCCTATACCGCCTCCTCATGCTGCTGCCAGGTCCAGAGTCTCTCATGGGTCCCTGTACGGCCTCCCATTGCTGCTGTCTCCATCGCCACACTCTGCCATGTGCCACTTTCAGGTCTCCTCACACTGCTGGTGTGTTCCATTTTTTGTCATAGGGTGCTGGCAGATTACGGGCCTCCCATAGCTGCTGCCAGGCCCCTAATCTGCCATGGGCCCCTGTACCCCTCCTCATGCTGCTGCCAGGTCCAGAGTCTGCATGGGTCCCTGTACGGCCTCCCATTGCTGCTGTCTCCATCGCCACACTCTGCCATGTGCCACTTTCAGGTCTCCTCACACACTGCTGGTGTGTTCCATTTTTTGTCATAGGGTGCTGGCAGATTACGGGCCTCCCATAGCTGCTGCCAGGCCCCTAATCTGCCATGGGCCCCTGTACCGCCTCCTCATGCTGCTGCCAGGTCCAGAGTCCTCATGGGTCCCTGTACGGCCTCCCAGTGCTGTCTCTCATGCCATGTGCCACTTTCAGGTCTCCTCACACTGCTGGTGTGTTCCATTTTTTGTCATAGGGTGCTGGCAGATTACGGGCCTCCCATTGCTGCTGCCAGGCCCCTAATCTGCCATGGGCCCCTGTACCGCCTCCTCATGCTGCTGCCAGGTCCAGAGTCTCTCATGGGTCCCTGTACGGCCTCCCATTGCTGCTGTCTCCATCGCCACACTCTGCCATGTGCCACTTTCAGGTCTCCTCACACACTGCTGGTGTGTTCCATTTTTTGTCATAGGGTGCTGGCAGATTACGGGCCTCCCATAGCTGCTGCCAGGCCCCTAATCTGCCATGGGCCCCTGTACCGCCTCCTCATGCTGCTGCCAGGTCCACAGTGTCTCATGGGTCCCTGTACGGCCTCCCATTGCTGCTGTCTCCATCGCCACACTCTGCCATGTGCCACTTTCAGGTCTCCTCACACTGCTGGTGTGTTCCATTTTTTGTCATAGGGTGCTGGCAGATTACGGGCCTCCCATAGCTGCTGCCAGGCCCCTAATCTGCCATGGGCCCCCTGTACGCCCTCCTCATGCTGTGCCAGGTCCACAGTGTCTCATGCCATGTGCCACTTTCAGGTCTCCTCACACTGCTGGTGTGTTCCATTTTTTTGTCATAGGGTGCTGGCAGATTACGGGCCTCCCATTGCTGCTGCCAGGCCCCTAATCTGCCATGGGCCCCTGTACCGCCTCCTCATGCTGCTGCCAGGTCCAGAGTCTCTCATGGGTCCCTGTACGGCCTCCCATTGCTGCTGTCTCCATCGCCACACTCTGCCATGTGCCACTTTCAGGTCTCCTCACACACTGCTGGTGTGTTCCATTTTTTGTCATAGGGTGCTGGCAGATTACGGGCCTCCCATTGCTGCTGCCAGGCCCCTAATCTGCCATGGGCCCCTGTACCGCCTCCTCATGCTGCTGCCAGGTCCAGAGTCTCTCATGTCCCTGTACGGCCTCCCATTGCTGTGTCTCATGCCATGCCATGTGCCACTTTCAGGTCTCCTCACACTGCTGGTGTGTTCCATTTTTTGTCATAGGGTGCTGGCAGATTACGGGCCTCCCATTGCTGCTGCCAGGCCCCTAATCTGCCATGGGCCCCTGTACCGCCTCCTCATGCTGCTGCCAGGTCCACAGTGTCTCATGGGTCCCTGTACGGCCTCCCATTGCTGCTGTCTCCATCGCCACACTCTGCCATGTGCCACTTTCAGGTCTCCTCACACACTGCTGGTGTGTTTCCATTTTTTGTCATAGGGTGCTGGCAGATTACGGGCCTCCCATAGCTGCTGCCAGGCCCCTAATCTGCCATGGGCCCTGTACCGCCTCCTCATGCTGCTGCCAGGTCCAGAGTGTCTCATGGGTCCCTGTACGGCCTCCCATGTGCTGCTGTGCCCACACTCTGCCATGTGCCACTTTCAGGTCTCCTCACACTGCTGGTGTGTTCCATTTTTTGTCATAGGGTGCTGGCAGATTACGGGCCTCCCATAGCTGCTGCCAGGCCCCTAATCTGCCATGGGCCCCTGTACCGCCTCCTCATGCTGCTGCCAGGTCCAGAGTCTCTCATGGGTCCCTGTACGGCCTCCCATTGCTGCTGTCTCCATCGCCCTCACTCTGCCATGTGCCACTTTCAGGTCTCCTCACACACTGCTGGTGTGTTCCATTTTTTGTCATAGGGTGCTGGCAGATTACGGGCCTCCCATAGCTGCTGCCAGGCCCCTAATCTGCCATGCCCATGGGCCCCTGTACCCAAGGTCCCTCATGCTGCTGGGTCCAGGTCCACAGTGTCTCATGCCATGTGCCACTTTCAGGTCTCCTCACACTGCTGGTGTGTTCCATTTTTTGTCATAGGGTGCTGGCAGATTACGGGCCTCCCATTGCTGCTGCCAGGCCCCTAATCTGCCATGGGCCCCTGTACCGCCTCCTCATGCTGCTGCCAGGTCCACAGTGTCTCATGGGTCCCTGTACGGCCTCCCATTGCTGCTGTCTCCATCGCCACACTCTGCCATGTGCCACTTTCAGGTCTCCTCACACTGCTGGGTGTGTTCATTTTTTGTCATAGGGTGCTGGCAGATTACGGGCCTCCCATAGCTGCTGCCAGGCCCCTAATCTGCCATGGGCCCCTGTACCGCCTCCTCATGCTGCTGCCAGGTCCCAGAGTCTCTCATGGGTCCCTGTACGGCCTCCCATTGCTGCTGTCTCCATCGCCACACTCTGCCATGTGCCACTTTCAGGTCTCCTCACACTGCTGGTGTGTTCCATTTTTTGTCATAGGGTGCTGGCAGATTACGGGCCTCCCATAGCTGCTGCCAGGCCCCTAATCTGCCATGGGCCCCTGTACCGCCTCCTCATGCTGCTGCCAGGTCCAGAGTCTCTCATGGGTCCCTGTACGGCCTCCCATTGCTGCTGTCTCCATCGCCACACTCTGCCATGTGCCACTTTCAGGTCTCCTCACACACTGCTGGTGTGTTCCATTTTTTGTCATAGGGTGCTGGCAGATTACGGGCCTCCCATTGCTGCTGCCAGGCCCCTAATCTGCCATGGGCCCCTGTACCGCCTCCTCATGCTGCTGCCAGGTCCACAGTCTCTCATGGGTCCCTGTACGGCCTCCCATTGCTGCTGTCTCCATCGCCACACTCTGCCATGTGCCACTTTCAGGTCTCCTCACACTGCTGGTGTGTTCCATTTTTTGTCATAGGGTGCTGGCAGATTACGGGCCTCCCATAGCTGCTGCCAGGCCCCTAATCTGCCATGGGCCCCTGTACCGCCTCCTCATGCTGCTGCCAGGTCCAGAGTCTCTCATGGGTCCCTGTACGGCCTCCCATTGCTGCTGTCTCCATCGCCACACTCTGCCATGTGCCACTTTCAGGTCTCCTCACACACTGCTGGTGTGTTCCATTTTTTGTCATAGGGTGCTGGCAGATTACGGGCCTCCCATTGCTGCTGCCAGGCCCCCGTAATCTGCCATGGGCCCCCGTACCGACTCCTCATGCTGCTGCCAGGCCCGTAATCTGTCATGGGCCCCTGTTGTCGCTTGTTGGCATATTCCGCTCGTTCAGATGCTCCTTCTCCTGCTACTCCTCTTCACGGATTCCGTCAGCAGTCTTTCTTGGAATCCGTTTCCAAGAGACAACAGTTTGCGAGCACGCACCCGACGGTGCAGAAGCTGAACGTCCTCCTGTCCAAGTTGCTGCTGCCAGGCTCGTAATCTGTCATGCGCCCCTGTACCGCCTCCTCATGCTGCTGCCAGGTCCAGAGTGTGTCATGGGCCCCCGTACCGACTCCTCATGCTGCTGCCAGGCCCGTAATCTGTCATGGGCCCCTGTACCGCCTCCTCATGCTGCTGCCAGGTCCAGAGTGTGTCATGGGTCCCTGTACGGCCTCCCATTGCTGCTGCCAGGCCCGTAATCTGCCATGGGCCCCCGTACCAACTCCTCATGCTGCTGCCAGGCCCGTAATCTGTCATGGGCCCCTGTACCGCCTCCTCATGCTGCTGCCAGGTCCAGAGTGTGTCATGGGTCCCTGTACGGCCTCCCATTGCTGCTGTCTCCATCGCCACACTCTGCCATGTGCCACTTTCAGGTCTCCTCACACTGCTGGTGGTTTCCATTTTTGTCATAGGGTGCTGTATGGCCTCCCATTGCTGCTGCCTCCACCGCCACACTGTGGCTCCACACTCTGGTTTTGGCCCCGTGACTGCCCAAATGAGTGAAGTGTGCGGTGATTCTAAGATCGACGGCACTCATCTGCATGTCATACTGACTGTCAGTATTATTTCTCTTCCCCAGCAGACTCCAAGGGCATTTAAATTAAAGGTACAGTGTTCTGCACTAATATAAAGGCTCTCTGAAGCCTAGAAACACCCTTTTATAAGTTAAATTCGCAGCGAATATATTCGACTCGAATCGAAATTTTTTCACGAATTCGCCGAATCAGTCGAATCGAATTTTTGAATTCAGTAACTGTATGGCTTTGAGTAGATCAGATATCAAGGAAGAGTGGGATATGGTTTTTCCATCCACAGCAATGAATCCTCTTCTCTCCCAAATTACACCCCGTGTACAGCACCATGACTTGGAGTCTGTGTAAATGTTGACATCCTGTCCTGCAAATAATTGACATGCTCTTGTAAGGGCAATCAGTTTGGCTGCTTGAGCTGACTGATATGGAATTGGCTTTGCCTTGAGTATTTTGTCAGGAATTTGCACAATGGCATATCCTGCATGGTAAGTATTATCATTTGGCCTAGAGCATGAGCCATCTACAAACACATCTGGGGCCCCATCGAGAGCCACAGCTGACATGTTGGGCCTAGGGGAAGTGTCTTGCTGTATGTGGGTTATACAATTATGTTCTGGTGCCACGTCATCCTGTTCTCCCTTTAGCCCCAGTAGAGCATTCAAAATTGGAGCAGGGCCTGAATTTGCTGAAGAATATTTATTAATCAAGTTGGGATCAGATAGAAGAATCACTTCATATCTACTCAACCTTTTATGCTGACGTATATGTTTTTCAGTAGTAAGGACACTTGATGTGTGGTGTGTAGGGTAGTTTCATGTCCCAATGTGAAAGAAATAACCATTCCCACCACCATTACGCAGGATGCAAAAACTCTCAGACAAGCAGGCATGCCCTGAACCTGAGTTGGCACTACTTTGAAAAAAAAAAACTACAGGGCGGAGCTTGCCTCCATGTTCCTGAGCCAGGACCCCTGCCATGGTTGTACAATTTTCCCTAGCATACAGATAAAACATTTTCTTATAGTCAGGTAGTCCAAGACCAGGGGCCGTTACCATAGCATTCTTCAGGTACACAAAGGCATCAACCATTTCATTTGACCATATGAGAATGTCAGGTGATTCTGAAAGTGTGGCAGACCTCAGAGTGTGATCATAAAATTAACAATCCATTGGCGACAGTAACCAATCATACCAAGAAAAGTTAGCATGTCCTTTTTAGTTTGTGGGAGGGGGAGACCCACAAGAGCCGCAGCTCTTTTGTGACTGACATTCCTCTCACCATGACTTAGAGTAAAACCAAGGTATTCAACCTGTTTTTGTCACCATTGCAGTTTCTTTTCAGATGCTTTGTGACCATTCCCTGACAACCATTCTAACAGAGACCAACTATCCTCCTGACTGGCCGCCTGACTTGGACTACAAATCCATAGGTCATCCACATATTGTAGGAGGACCGAACCTTTGGGAGGGGTCCAGGACCTCAGTGTGGTCTGGAGGGCAAGTGAGTAG